TCCTGCCCTCTGAGAAGGTAAGCTGTGTGTGGTGCTGGGTGGTTTTTAACCAAGAGGGAAAACCAGAGCTCTCTCACCAACACTTAAATGGGAGGGGTGATAACCTTGAGCAGACCAGATCCTATGGTTAGGCTTTGGCATTAATGCACCCTGTCTTTCTGGCCATGATAGTCCTTGAGACTGTGAGCAGTTGGAAGTGGCAGCTTTTGGGGACAACTGCTCTGTGGCTTTGGAGAGGGTGCCCCGTTTCAGGCACTCTGGAAGGCAAGGTGAGGGGAGACCGAAGGCACTAAACCCATCCCCGGGGTTTTGGGAGAAGCTGCTGTGTGGAAGCTTTAGGAGACTGCTGTTACCTATACGTAAGGGTTTTCGTTTTTGTGTGTTTCGGCGGGGTGGTGATTAGTTAAGAGTGCTGATGATGGGTGACTGCACACTGTGGGGTGGTTTTTTCTCCTTTCTAGTTTGCAGCTTTTCGTACTGTACACTGTATGCCAGGTAGTAATACAACTAAATGTATGTGCATTGGAAACTTGGGAGGCCTGCAGTGGGAAATCCTTGCTGTGTGGTCAGCAGTGGTATGCTGCCTTCGTAATATCTGCGGTGTGGCGTTAGCAGTGACAGAAAGTGGTTCATTTTCACAGACTGCCTTAGGGTTAGGCACAAATAATGTTTTCCCTAGGCTGTCCAAAACGGAGCCCGCACAAGTAGTAAAGCTACAGAGTCTGTTTTCAGGAGGGTGTTCCAATTTTATGCAAATATTTATAGTATTGGGCTAAGGAGGATACAGGGTATTTGTAGTAACTTCATTGAGATAGCATTTAAAATATTAATGCAGAAGTGACTCTGGGCTTCCTAAGGATCATCTAGTCAAACTAGATGTTTTGCGCAGGAATTGTGGCTGCAGTTGTGCCTTGAATTTTACCAAATTGGACTTGTTGCCGTTTTTCACATCTCCTTCATTTGAGGATTAGTTTCATTACTGAACGGTCGAAACCTTGTCCTGTGTGACTTTTGGGCCTGGGACCTTCCTTGTGGGAGCTGTGTGCCAAGCTCCTGGAGGTGGTGCTGTCCCCCTCCTGCCAGATCCAAGGCTGTGAGAGCTGGTTTGCCAGTGTCACCTGTATATGCAGTGGGGCCCGTCAAACAGAAACATTGCTGCAGCTGATAGGCATTCACACAGCGTGCTTATCGTGCGTGCACGCTTCTGCAGGATTTGTTGCGCTGCTAGCTTTAATATTAAATGATGAACGATTTGCAGTCGAAAAGCTGATAAAGGGTTAGTTCCAGTGACTGCACAAGCTCTGAGAAGGTGGATAGAGTTAACTGGGAAGTAGCTGCTAAGTTTAAGTGGTTTCTTTTTCCCCTCCCAACTACCTTCCTCTTTCTGGTCTCTGGCTTCTCGTATCCCTTGTGGTTATATGGCTTCTACTATTTACAGCACTAAGGAAATACTAAATATTCTCTGAGCAACTGGGTTCTGCCACCTCTTGTAATGCGATATTCCCATATTGCCTAGAGTAGTTAAACTACCTATTCCTGAAAGTAAGGTATTGCTTAACTTGAGAAAGGTTGGCAGCATCTGGTTTTATGCCACTTTGAAAAAAAAAAAAAAAAAAATTAACTCTCCTTGCCCTGTCTCCGACTTTCCCCTCCAGCTTTCCCTCAGTGCAAAATAAACCCAACCGAGCACCTGAGGAGAGAACACACTCTTCATTCTGCTTGTGCCAAGTCAGGGTCATTAAAATGGAGCTGTTTGAGTAGAAATGCATAAATAGGTCAGGGAAAGCAGACTCACATACTTTGGCATAAGATAGAAGAGCAGTTTGAGGAAATGCTTTAGTGTGGTGGTGTTTTTCTTTTCTTCTTTTTTTTTTTTTTCCTTTTCTTTCCTTCCCCCAAGGTATCTTCAGGAGTTTGTCAACGTGGCTTGAGCACTTTGGAGCTTAAAGTTATTGCAGCATTCAAAACAGGTTCAGAAATCTCTCAAAAGTCTCAGGCTGGTCTCAGGCCTAAAGGTTAAGTCAAACACTGACAATGTTAAGACTGACTAGAGTCAGCTACTGAGCAAAAGCTGCCACCATGTCTTCCTTGAGAAGATAGAGGGCTGGAAGTCTCCTCTAATCTCAGCGGGCTTTTGCAGGAAGCAGCTCTCTTATGCTCTTCTAAACCACAGACTAAGAAATGCCCTTTTCTGTGCTATTTTAATGTAAGCTAGGCTCTTGTTTTTGAGTTCTGCCTGATGGCTAATGATATTTTTTCAGAGGTGTATTTGAGTCAGACTGTAGTTTTGTTTTGGGCAGAGTTCAGGTTTTTGAGTAGGGTTTCCCTTGACAGTTGAATAGGATTACATCTCTCTTGAGTAGTTTAGTGTATCTTAACTTTCCAACAGTCTACACGGCAGCATCCACTTAAAAGTTTTATCATTAATTGTGATAGTCATTAATTCTTTTGTTGTAAAGTTCTGATTTATAGTTTTTTATTTTGAGGTTCTTATGGTGAATTGAAACCTCTTGCAAGCTGATAATTTGAGAATCACTGTAAAAAGAAGCGTTCTTTGTTACTGCTCGTAGGAGAGAGCCTACCCTAGATTCAGAAAGACTCCTCCTTATCCTAGATAAAATTGCTTGACTGTTCCTGAATCAAGTTTTAGGTCTAGTAAGTGAACTGGTTTATTTTAACTTCAGGCAGACTTTTAGCATAAAGAGCTGCGAAAGAATGACTGATGCTGGCTGTGCTTTTTGGTTGGGGCTGGTTAGTGACATGCAGATCACAGCAAGCCCCTAGGTGCTTCTAGAAGCAGCTGTCCAGGAGAAGCAATGTTAGCTGTTGACTTACAGTATAATTTCTATTTTTAGTCTTCAAATGGGCTCAGATCACTAATAGATTCAAACGGTTATTTTCATTAGTGAGAACATTTATCACTTTCGGCGCTCTCCTGCAGCTGTTACTAGACATGTAGCAAAGTGTGTGGATAACAGCCTCCAAATGTTAGAGATAACATCATATAGGGCCTGATTCAGTCGTGCTTTTGTGATTGCTGGACATAGGAGGCCTACAGAATTAACAGTTGCTGGAGGTTTTCCAAGACAGCTGACCAAATGAAATCTTGGTGCCTTAAAATTCAATACAACTGGTGCAGTTACTGTAGCTGAGGTATTAAGCAGTGGATGCATTTCACAGAGACGGAAGCAGACTAATTTGTAAAGTAACTTTCAGCTTTCAAAACACATCTGTCCTATAAGCCTGCGAAGGAGAAAGTAGGATGAAGTAAACAAAAGTGGCAGATACATTGCAAGTAGGATGATTGTTCTTTCACCACGTCTGTCACTTGCCCTTTTATTTTCCTGGTATAATAGAGATGCTGCATCTTGTAAGTTCACCAGGTGGAGTTTTTCTGGGTGATGTTCAAGTCCATGGAAAGGTCACTGTCCGGCAAGTTCCCAGTGTAAAGGCTGGTTCTTCAGAGTTGCTGTTGCTTAACTTTGTCATGGAATGACTTCACTGGAAGTGAACGGGACTACTTACGTGAGTGGGCAGAGGCTTTGTAGAATCAGAGTATGCTCATCTGTGCGCTGGTTAGCATGGAAGAACCCACTTTACCAATAGGAACTTTTAACAATATCTCCCTAATAAACTAGGGAGCACGGGACAGGAGATGAAAAAATTGCTGTTAAAATCGACGTCATGCCTGCTTAACCCATAGGGCCTTTGCCTTTTAAAATGTTATGCCATCTGCTTGCGGGTTGGAAGATGTGGACTTGACTGTGCGTTTTGTGCTACCGTTTGGCAAAAAGGAAAGGCAGGCAGGACAACCTAGCTCCTGCCTCTTTGAGCATCTGGCCCAACAGTAGATGTTGTTTCAGTAGGTCTGGTTCCTGTTACCCCCCTACTTCCCCTTCTCCCCGATAACTGGACATTTGTTTTCCTTATTTCTTACTTCTGATTTAACATTTCCATCAGATACCTTACTTGGTCTGTCTTTGTGGCGTAATGATGCCTGTGTAAAAGTAAAATAATTGCTAGTGATAGGTTTTGTTCTATGTTAACAGTAGGCTGAATTGTATTCTATTCCAGTAGGCAAAAATTGTTCCCGAAACTCAGAAACCAGCTGTTTCAGTGCTTGTTCAGTAGGTGTCCAGCATTAAAGACTATTTATTGTTTTTTGCCCATTGAAGGTCCTGCCTCTCTTCACAGCAGTGATGAATACCTTCAGATGATGCAGAGTCAGACCAAGCCTGTGAAATACAGTAGTCTTAAGAAACACAAAAGCTGCTTATGGGTGTGTTTATATGAAGTATAATAAATTCCATACCGTTTGCACTCCTTGGTGCGTTTACTGAGGTCATGTATGGCATACTCTAATTTCAGTCTCCACCCAGTCTCTTTTTAATAAACCAACTGGGAGGTAGTGAGACGAAAGTGGAAAACTTTTAAGTTTAGTCAGTGGAATACCAACTTGGCTGTTCTGTAGTAGCTCTCTGGAAAACTAGAAATAAATGCCTCGAGGTGGTGGGATTTATTGAAGCGCTTTTTTTTTTTTTTTAATTTGTGTTCGGAGATGAACAAGTAAAACGCGTCTGAGTTGTGGAAGAGC